CTCCCCGCCTCAGGCTTGCCGCTGCCAGATCCAGGCTCCACACGCCTCACCCTTGCTCCTGCCAGACCCGCCCGCATCCACACCTCCTCCCCGCCTCACCCTTACTGCTGCAAAACCCGCCCGCGCCCACACGCCACACCTCCTCCCCGTCTCATGTATTGCTGGGATAGTGGGATTTGTATTCCTCTATAGCTGACAGTATATTGAGCTGTACTGTATGTTATACCATCAGCTACAGAGGACTACAAATCCCAGCAATACATCATACGCTGTATGTATAATGTATTGCTGGGATTTGTTGTATTCCTATATAGCTGGTGGTATTCTGCATTGCGCTGTATAGGGGACTACAAATCCCAGCAATAATACATTATACAGCGCAATGCGGAATTCCCCCAGCTATAATGTACTATTGCTGGGACTTGTAGTCCTCTATAGCTGGTGGTATTCTGCATTGTGCTGTATAATGTATTATTGCTGGGATTTGTAGTCCCCTTATACAGCGAAATGCAGAATACCACCAGCTGACGAGACATCCCTCCACTACCAGTGTGCTTTACATTTCCTAAACCGATAAATACATTCACACTACTGTTACATGGATGGCAAAAGTGGCAGACAGGGGCGGGGAGAAGGCGGAGGGGGACCAAGTTGCTGCACCATGGGCCTCTGGGTTGTACTTGCCCCCTGGGCTAAAAGTTGCCAGTCATCCCCTGCCAGCACCAGATTGGAGATTCACCATGCCAGGGCAAGCCTGGTCTTGCTGGACAGGTGAATGGGGAGATCCAGGGACAGAACTTATTAATCTGACACAGCCAGAATTTTGAATAGTCATAGCATAAAATGGAGCATATGGGACTACCACAAGGGAGGCCACCATTAAGCTCAGAACCGTCATGCAAACACAAACTGCCAGGCAACTTCTGGACTGCAAGGTCTGAGCATGGCAGAGAAGAGCCTGAATCCTTTCCAGGGCAAGAAGACCTGGACCCTGGTCTAAGACAAGGCTCAGGGACTCCAAGCAACTAGAGGGTTCCAATGACGATTTTAGGAGATTCATGATACCTCTGCAGGGCCTATATCGTCCAATGAATGTTGGAAGATAAGGTTGTCAAATGTTTTCCAAGGAGGTGCTCATCCAAATACTCCACTATGGGGATGCCCTGAAACCATACCAGAGCCAAAACAGGGGCCATCACCTTCGTGACATGAGGTGCAGCGGACAAGCCATTGTATGTCCAAAGTAAAAATGCAGGTAGAGCAGGAGTACAGGAGAGAAAAAAAAAGGTGTGCAAATATGCATCCTTTATGTCCCCCACAGCTGAACCTGAAGGAACCGGTTAAGAATCTAGGGCAGAAAAAAAAAATTTGTTCATCTTCTAGAAAATCTCAGCAAGTACAACAGCAGGAAGAGAGGAGGAGACAGGGAGTGAAACTCCAGTATGTATCCTTGGTTAAGACGCTCTGGACTAAGGCATCAGAAATGTTTCAGTCCAAGGAGGATGAGAAGTCTAACAGACATCTCCCTATTATTGAAAGTGCAGGTGCCCCTTAAAATTGAAGAGGGTGCGTGCCTGGATTTTGAGGGCTTGGAGGGCCATGACTTATGGCAAAAGAGTGTTCTGGCAAAGGACATGCACAGACCAGTAATTAAACCATAGGATCCAACGCATGTGAACAGACAGGAGGAGACCCATCCTGGAGATTTGTCTCTCTGCTGACCATCAATGCAATAGTGCAGATCCATAGGAAAGTGTTCTAGCCATTTAGGAACAGTGGGATACATCCAGATGGACCCAGGGTCCCCAGCCATAGGTTTTGACCACATAGATAAGATCTGACACATGGCCATGGTGGCAACAGCAAGCTGCAAAGCAAGGCCTGCAAATGCAAATAGGGCTTTAAAGAGGTCTTCTAACATCTTGTCCACGTGGTCCTTGAAAACTGGGACAAATTCTACAGGGACCATAAAGACTTGTTCAGACTAGAGATAGTTGGGTCTACGACAGGAATCATTGATTTAAAGGAAACCATTGGGAGGAGTATTCAAAGTGATCCCAGTCACCATCTAATATAATACCAGCTGTAGAAGTGATTATGCAGGAAAGGTTTTAGCAGATTTGGGCATCTCTAAAGAATGGCCAAAGGGCAGACACAGGTGACTCTAATGATCAATAAGTATGCACCGCGTCTTTAAGCTTAGGAGCCCTTTCTTTATCTTCTTCAGAGAGTGCACAGACAGCCAGAGGAAGGTCAGAGGGGGACTTTGAGGGAGAAGATAAGGGGGCACGCTCATGCCCCCTACAGTCATTGTATGTTAATGAGGGGGATATTTGTCCTAAATCTTTCTATTAGGACAGACAGCGTTTCCAGTTACTGAAATTGAGAGAAACTTGCAAAGGCTGGCTAAACAGAGACATCAAATAGGTAAAACATTTTTTATTAGTTTTGGATGTGCTGTGTGAATAGGAGCACATAAACATAGTATGTTTTTTCTCAATTTTGACTGCAAAATGGAAATACACTTTCACCACCTCAGGACCATAGGATGTACTTGTACATCCTGGTTTTGAAGTGCTTACACAAAGACCATGGCGGCTGCAGTAGCCATGATCTTGGTCTAATTCTTTTTTTTCCAGCAGGCAATTGATCTAGGCAGCTTGATCATCTGTATTAGAGGGCAGGGGAAACATCAAGGGGTCTAAAAGACCCCTGATATTTCTATAAAAAGAACCCGTCATTGTCAATGCTATCACATAGGGCTTATTAGCCCCTTTGTGATAGCAATAAAAGTGAAAAAAAGTGTTACAAAAGTAATAAATATATTTTGCGCCACAAATGTTAGGTATCCCCATGAACGTCGAACCGAGAGCAAAAATTCTAATGCCATAGTTCACGGTTAACTCTAAACTGATGAGCAGTAAAGGATATTAACCACTTTCTGTCCGGCCATTGTCTCTTCTGCGACAAGGTTAATAAAAATAATTCTAATATATTTTCAAAGAGAAGCTTCTGTACAACAGAAAGCACCAGGTTCAAATCCCATGGAGCAGGTGTGTGGAATTCGAATCGCCCGACGCCCGGGACATGTAGTTCCGGGAGGCGGGCAAGTGTTTTTTTTTCCATCCCCAGGTCATAACAGCACCCACTCGATCATACATGGGATTCCGGTCTGGAGTGTGGTAGGACAGACTTATTAACTCCCCCGTCAGATATCTCACTGTCTGCCCTGGAACCTAGAATAGGCTGTCACAGCTGCCAGGCAAGGCTCTGCGTGCGCTCATCGGCCGAACTGGAGACTACAAGGATCTAGGTCAGGGGTAGGCAACCTCAGCTCTCCAGCTGCGCTGAAACTAAAAATCCCATAAGGCATTGCAAGCCACATGCATGACTCCCAGAGGCAGAAGCATGGTGGGATTTGTAGTTTCAGCACTGGAGAGCCAAGGTTGTCTACCTCTGATCTAGGTTATTCAGCCTGTCACCCAGCTTGGCTGTTGATTGAAGATCATCACTTGAAGAACAGGAACAAAAAGAAAAAACTGGAACTAAGATCCCAACATGGAGCTAGGTCGGTACTCCTCGACGCTAGGTGGGGGGGGGGGGGGGGGTGCGCCCACACCA